AAATGGGGGAAGAATGATGGATGCATCACCTTTTTTCTGTCACAGGGGGGGCTGTCGTTTTTTATCCGCAGCTGGTGGTCTTTTTTTTTTTCCACATGACTTCTTCTGGGAAGGGAGAGGAGTTCGAACGGGCGGCGATGGTGTCGAAAGACTCCCGTTATGTTCACCGCCGTTGGCGCCTGGAGGACGCCACGCTGATGATTCAGAACCCAAAACTGGAGCTTCTCATTGACTTCGACGATCCTGCAAGTTTTACCCTCGCGGCAAACGCCCCGCTCACGTCGGGGGTTCGACGCACCGCTTCAACGTGGGGCGGCGTCGAAGGTGCCCTCAGTCTCAATTCAGACGACGAGCTCTTGGCGGATTGGCGGGAAATTGGCGTGCCACCACTGACAGAAGAATGAGTGCACATTACTAGAGTTTTGAGTTGAAGGACATGCCGAGGCTCGAGGCACCGTAGTGTTGTTTGCTTGTATATATACATATGCAAGCATACATAAATACATATGTTTATTTCTGCGTATATTTGGGGTGAGAAGGAAAAATTGCTGGCGGCATTTTCTTTAACTCCTGGTCGCCCTTATCTTGCCTCCCTTTTTCCTCTGCTGTGATTTCTGTACCTTTTATTATTATTATTACTATTATTATTATTATTGTTACTGAAAAAATAAATGAATGTTTAAAATGCAAAGGAAGAGCCAAACAAACAAACAAATAGGGGTGAGGGCGGTGAGATGAGCACGGCCTCCGTCAGGGAGGAATTGACAGGCGAAACACAGCGGCATGCGGGGAGCGATCTGCTGTTGCGAAAGCTTCCTCTTCTCGCCAAGGCTTATGCACTTGCACAGCAGCACCCAAAGGATCCACAGGCAGAGTGCAATTTGCTTTGCTACGGACCAGAAGTGTATCGTATTCTTTCGATTGCACGCCGGCGAGATGACCGCGGCTTCTTGCGGCCTCGACCATGCCAAAGTTTGGAGGCGGAAGAAGGTGATGACAATGACGATGAGAAGAAAAGGGAATCAAGGATGGATGCCATGGTGGTGCTACCGACACGCATTCCGTTTCTTGGCGTAATAGAATCGGAGCTTTGCAAGTCAATGGAATCCGTACAAGAGGCCCGCAGGAGTAAGAAAGGATCGGAAGATGATACTGCGGATGCGAGAAGTGCGAACGGTGCATCGAGGCGCATCGGTGGCAAGAGAAGGAGGCATGGAGCGGAGGTGGATGCACAAAAGGGCAATGATGAGAGTGATGAGGAGGAAAATGAGGATGCGGGAGTGAAGGAGGGGGATGGTGCCACACGAAGTAGGATAGAGTATGATGTGGGCGGTGAGGAATGTGTCTTGCTGCGTGCCATTCGTGAGCCGCTAGCGGCGTGGGGTGCGGGGGATAAAAAAAATCAAGCTGGTGCGACGGGCGCCAGCAATACCAGAAACGGCCACAAGAACAGTGGTTTCAGCGAGGGAGTTGGGGGTGGCCGGATGCCGTGGGAACAGATGCTGGAGAGCATCATGAGCCGCTACGGCGCCGCGGATGTGGAAAAGGATGGCGAGGCTGTTCAGTCATATCTTCGCCGAGTGTCATGGATTGAGCAGCAGAAAAAACTGCAGCTGGGGCTCGGCGCAGCTACAGGGACGCGTCATCGCAGCGAACAGCCGTGGATGAGCATGACAGATGCGATGCGAGTGCAGAAGGAGATGCAGCGCATGCGTCTTCAACGAAAGCGGTTTCACCGTCCGCATAAACCAACAGAGGGGTGAAACTGAAAAAGGAAAAACAAGTGGAAGGTGGATGGAGTGTGTACATAAATGGGGGATCATGAGCCGCTTGTTCTCCCATTGTTTTTTTTTTTTTTTTGGTTAAAACCATGTGTCTCTGTTTCTCTCTCTCTTTCTCTCTGTATGTGTGCACCAGCATTGTTGCTATGTGGCATCTTTCTTCCTCTTTTTTGCTTGTCTTAGAAGCTGGTGGTGAAAGAATCAAGAGGACCGTCGTTTTTCCTGATTTCTTTCTTGACTTTCACACACATACATAATTTGTAAGATACAAATAAGTGGCTGCAGAGTGGCGGCAGAGGAAAGGGGGAGGGGGGAAAAAGAAAAAAAGGGAAGGGAATGATGTCAGAATCCTGTTCCAAGAATGAGGGCGAGTACAGCCATTGCTCTGCCGTCAGTGTGAGTGGCAACGGGGATTCTCTTTATGGTGGGAAGCGTCGACGCCGTAGTTTTAATGGGCCGTCACGCCCCATCCTTAAGATATTCGGGAGAGATGAGAGAGGAAAAATAGACCCCGTTGACCCGAGAAATGCCAATAGTTCTGTCTTCTCACGGAGCTCCAATGGGGGAATTTATCCTCCTTTCCGTGAGGAACGCTACACCCTCCGCCATGACACCTTTAGCCTTAGCAGTGATGTTTGTAGCAGCCGTGATTCTAGTAGCGGCTCCTTCATGCAAGGCAAAAATAGTTGTAGCAGAAGCAAAGAGTTCCCCGTGCTTCAGCCTAAGCAAAAAGAGCAACCACAAGGACATTTGGATTTTTATGCAGAGAAGACGGCCCAAATCAAGGAGGGTTTTTCCTCCCTATCCATGTCGCAAATTCTTCCCCTGGATGAGTCACCTTCCCCTGTGAATGAGAAGGCAAATGGGAGTGCGAAGGACAATGTGATGGAGAGTGGTACAAATGCCTCAAATGTTGGTACCCCTATCCCAGAATTTGTCCCCCAGAGTAAGGCAACGGCAGGAAATATCCAGCAGAAATCCTGTAGCATAGATGGAAGCCCTGCACGTCAGTTCATCGGTTTCTCCCACTCCACGTTGTCTGAGTTAACTTGTGTACAACTTTCGCCTTTTGAGATGCCTGTCTTTCCAAATATCGATTCGTTAGGAACATCGGTTGCCGCTGATGAGAATTTCAAAAAAGAAGTGAAGGAGAAAGAAAAGGAATGCAAGCAGCCAAAAAAAGGAAGGCCGATTTGCGTTGCGCCAAAGGAAGAGTCTCCGTTAGCGTGGAGTGTCAACACCACATCTCGAGAAATGCCCATTATGCATCAGTTGCCTCCTTTGTTCGATGATTGCGATTCGGAAAGAAAACGTTGTAAATTTATGTGCCATCCATTTCTTATATTTATTTTGCTTGGCCTTCTGTTGCCATTTGCAATTCAGGAATTGTTTGTGGTGGTAAACCACTTTGCGACGTCTGGACCAATTATTTGTGGTGGAGTGAAATGTGTATGCTCCTTGGAGGATGTATTATTGTATGTCTTTGCCTACGGAATACATATTTATATTCCCTTTGCCCTTTTTTCGCCTACATTATTTTTCCTTTCGTATGATGTGGTTTTGCAGAAGGCCCGGGAAAAAGAGTTACGGGCCCGCATGGAATGTTACGCTGTGCCAGAGCACACATCCTCTCACCCTTGTCCTCACACAGCCGACCGCATAGCTGCGTCCTCTCGGCAAGGCGGTGGAGACAGGGAATTTCCTCGTGAAACAAACGATTCTTCTCTTCTTCATTGGGATTTACCCTCATGTTTTAGCATTATGCGCCGGGGGGCAGTATTTTTGGATAATTGTTGTGGCACGTTTTGTTTTATTAGCCATAATGGATACACAATTGCCTCTTATGTCCAAAGTCCCCGTTGCTGTGTGGGGACCCATGCGGTTAGTAGCCTTATCGTTGCCGCTTATAATTTATTCACTTTACGAGACTCGACCTTTTTTTGCCGTGCCGTATGTTTTATTAGATGCCTTTCCTCTATTGTTTCAGGTTGTTTTGGGAGACAATACCATGCCGGTAAATACACGTTGCATGGCAGGCCCGATGCTTTTGGTTTTACTTGAAAGGTGCTTGTGGTATGTGTCAGTCACGGCTATACCAGAAGAAGTACCTGTGGGTGTTAAAATAACCATTAGCGCAACCTTTACTGCTATGTATTTTGTGTTAATTCTGGCATTATCACTTCCTGTGGATATCAAGAATGGATTTTATGTGGCTATTGTTATGGCTTTGCAAGTATTTTTTTTAGAGCTACTTTTCAATACACTCTTATTGGAACTTCTTGCATTTCGCCTTTATACTTTTGTGATGAAGTCCGTGTTTCGCCGAACGGTTCAGTTGCCTCAAATGAAATGCACAGATTCAACAAATATATCCACACAAGTACGTTGGCCAACTTTGGCAATTGCAATTGGTGCTATTTCTCCATTTTTCCAGTTTCATCAATGGCCCCGAGCAATACCACATAGCGATTGCCATGGCATTTTATCAAAAAAGATTATTGTACACATTGGAATGTTCTTTATTGTCATTGGCGTTATTATACTGGCTACCATGATTACACTTATTGCCCGCTGGAAACATGAAGTACTTCGCATGCCGTTAATTTTGGAGGATTGGTTTCTGTTATTTATTTGGGGATGGTACGTTTTTTCTTCTGTCCCGTTGGCGTTGGCAGCTGTATTTTGAGGAGGCCCTTCCCTCTCACCCAGTTCGCATATCTTCTTTTTTCTTTTTTTCTTCGTGAATGTGTTGTTGTTGTTGTTGTTTTTGTTTTTGTTCCTTCTAGTGCTGGTGTTGCGGAGGAAAAAAAAAAAAAAAGAAAAGAAACAATTGAACGTGATTCGTACATTATTGCCGAATGAAGAATTTCTTCTTTTGCGGGTTCTGTCACGAGAGTATGTTGTCGCACCCTTTTTCCACACGTGTGTGTATTTTTAATAAAGGGAGAGACAAGGCGGCTTTTTTGTTGTTGTTGTTGTTGTTGTTATTTTCTCATTTTAGGAAATAAAATTATTTTTTTTCCTTTTCTGCTCTTGGCGCGAAAGTCAGAGCTTAAAGAAGGATATCTTTTTTTTTTTTTTTTTTTTTTTGCTGAGGCCTCCCTCCCGATTATTATTTTGACTTTCAACAGCGCACCGTGTGTGCCTAAAGTGGCGCGCACAAATCCATTCATCAGCGCCACGCTGTCGCCGTGAAAGCGCACTTCGCACGGCGGGCGGCAGCCCGATGGAATTACGACCGGTAGAAGTTCAACGTCCGACATGCGGTTTTCAGCGCTGCAGCAGTGACGGACGGACCCGCCACCGCACGGCCAGCCACAGGCATCGAGCGGACATCATTAAAATCAGGCCAGCGTGAACTGTGCGAGGGGACGAGTACGCATCTACTCCGCTGCCCGGCTCCGCCGGCGCCTGGAGAAAAACATGGAGTGGACACCGGAGAAGTGAGGAAATTGTGCTTCAAGAAGTTGGCGCGGATTCTTTTTTGGGGTGGAACGGCGCTGCTGCCAGCGGCGCCTCCGCGCGACGAGAGGGCACAAGAGCTCTCGCAGACGCGGCATAAAGCCGATGCTGGTGGCATTTATTTCTTACTTTCTTTCCATTTTTTATAGATTGCCTGGTTT